AACGGGAGCCGTTGGTTTATGTGCAGGAAGGGAAGCACGGCGTGCAGGGCTCGGCCACGCTGTTCTACATGGTGCACTGCGGGAAGGCTCTGTACAACAACCTGCTCTGGAGGAACTGGTCTGTGAGGGAACTCTCCAAACTGGTCATCATCGGGAACAGCTTCCGAGGCATCGAGGAACGGTGGGTCCAGCCCGGGAAGGGCTTTGCTGCCTCCAGCCGCGTTTTCTCTCCTTGCTTCCTTACTCCTGTTTTATTCTGTTGCTTCTGACAGTGAGGTCCAGATTTTGCTGGTTCTCAGCTTGCTGTCACATTTGCAGTCATCATCCCTCTGTGACCTTTTCTGTCCCCCACACCCATTGAGAACAGTTCTCCTCATTTCACAGGAGTGTTGTCTCTAATGCTGGTCACCTTCTGTTATTCTAGGTTGCTGTCTAGAACACTGGAGAGAGATTATTCTTACATAGCAAAGGTAGGAGTCGTTAGTATTTAACATCATTGTTTTGTGTTGACAAAGCACATTAAAACAAGACAGGAAATTAACTGGAGTTGGAAAGAAGAGAGTGGTTATTTTTAAAACCTTTTTTCCTGGCTGCTACAACATAAAAATTGTGATTCTACATTGATTTCTACATGTAAAAATGAATTCTGCATTATCTGCAGAACCTACTGCATGCAGGGGTTGAGATTAACAGCATCCTCATCACCACCAGCTCTGAACTGAACTTTGCAGAAAAGTGCTTCTGTGTCATAAAGAAACTAACTTTTTCCTCAACTGCTCTTTAGGTCTTGAAAGGGACAGAGGAAGTGGCACTCCCTGCCCACCCTCGGTACCTGGACACCTTTAACGACACTTCTGTCCACTGGTTTCCCTTGCAAAAACTGAAGGAACTCTCCCCTGAGGTCTGGGACTTCGTGGAGGAGCCCACGTACCAAGAATGTGACGACTTGGAGATCATCAGGAAGGAGGACGGGGCTGACCAGCGCAGGCTCGTGGCCGCCCAGTCCTGACCCCTCTGTGGTGACAGGGACCCACAGCAGCTTCCGTGCAGCTCAGAGCTCAAGCACTGACAGTGTCATCCTGCTCTGACAAAAGCAGCAGCACCTGAACACTGAGGGTGATGGGACATTTTTGTATTTTAATTATTTAATAAAAAATAAATCTGTGCTTTGACCTACACTCACTCAACTACAGCGAACTAAGTTCACTAAAACCTGCCTTGTAGCCATCCACACTGCACAGGGATTGCACTTCTGATCCCCTCCCCTTTCATGAACAATTCAAAGCCTCTGCCTGTGCTACACACATTTTCAGAGGGGGGTGTAGTTGAAGGTATTGGTGTCTAGTTCCAAATGCAGGCTGATAAAAGCTTTCTCACAGGGAGGGGCCTTCAGCTGCCCAGTGCTACTGAAATCAGCTCTTTATCTCTTCTCAGAAGAATCAGGTCATCTCCTTCTAGGAAAAAAAATCCTCTGTTTCCCTCCCTCACCTCTATGCCCTGAACTGCTGCAGTCCCACAGCACACCTTCTCTCAACTTATGGGAAAAATACACCCATTCCAGCTCTGTGGTGACAGCACAAAAGAGGGCACCTGGAGCAGCTGGTGGCCCACGGGCAGGCTGAAGGAGCCACCAGCACATCCAGGGAGAGGTGGGATGAGTCCCGGCTGTGAATGGCAGAGAGGAGCCCGCTGCATGAGGGACATTGTCAGGACAGTAACTCGCTGCCAGAGCAGCACCTTCAGCCCTCTCGCTGCCAGAGCAGAGAATCACCTCCCATGGTCCCCTCTAACCTCCTGATGAACCTCTGTCACAGGTGGAAGTTACACAAGTTCCTTGTTCCTCCCTCAGCACCCAGTTCCATGTGTAATTTCATCTGTTGACGGGGCCTGAACAGCTCTTCCAAGAAAAAAATCCCAGCATTCAGCTACAGTTTCACTCTGTTTACAAATCCCTCTTTACTTTAAGACAGTTCCATTAAAAACATCAGCAAGATGTTCTGCACAGCTCACAGCAGGGCCTCACTTGGCCATGTCAATGAGGCTCTGGAGAGAGGTTGGCACCCAAGTCTTTTCTCCCTGTACAAACACGACACCTCTGTCAATGTAAATGACAATCCGTCCAAACGTGTACAGCTGCTTCCCTTCGTGCCGCTTCCCAATCACAGGCATGAAAACAATGTTGTGCTCCTCTGCTTTGGTCTGAATCAGGTCCTTGAAGTTCATGGGGACGGAGCTGGCGGCCGCGCCGATGCCGCGCTGGGCCATGTTCTCGGCCTCGCGCCGCTCCTGCATGGCCTCGTACTGGAAATCCTTCCTCCGCTCCGTGTGCGTCAGGTAGGCGATGTTCTCCCGAGCGCCTGGCTGCATGTAGCCACCTGTTTGGGAGACAAAACACGTGAAAACAAGGTCCCAGTCCATTTCTGGTGGAAGGTCTGTGGGTAAACTCCAGTCCGGGACACAGTAAGGTCCATCTCTAGTATTCTGAATCCTCCTTGACACATTCTAATTACGTTTCATGCCGTTAATGTGAATACAACACAGACTAAGCAGGTGAATTTGAGAACTGCAGCAGAAGCAACAGGATTTGCTACAATCTCAAATTGTATCTGAGCACGCACAGGAGAGGAGGATGCCACACTGCCACTGGCAAAGGGAAAATGTGAACAACAACAAAATGATGGAGCCAGGCTCTTCTCAGTGGTAGGACAAGGGGCAATGGGTGTGAGCTGGAACACAGGAGGTTCCACTTAAACTTGAGAAGAAACTTCTTTACAGTGAGGGTGCCAGAGCCCTGGGACAGGCTGCCCAGGGAGGGTGTGGAGTCTCCTTCTCTGGAGACATTCAAAACCCGCCTGGACGCCTTCCTGTGTGATCTCATTTAGGTTCCTGCTCTGGCAGGGGGGTTGGACTGGATGATCTTTCCAGGTCCCTTCCAATCCCCGACATTCTGTGATTCTGTGAAAACACTCCTCAAAGCCAAACCCTGGCCTGTGGTCCCCACACACCACTGCTGGGTTACAAACAGCTGCAACTGCAAAGTGAGGCCAAGGACGGAGCAGCACAGCGCTGCGGGAAGCAGCTGTCGCTATCAGCCCCAGTTCTCACTCTGTGGCTGCACAAATACCATGCCAGAAAGTTCTCAGTAAGTAAATTCCTCTTTGTGCAACACTTGCCTGTAGTTTTATCATTTTACCATGGAAATAAACCTAACACTTAAAAATCTTCTGTGTTTCTGATGCAGATTCTCCATCACACTGTGCAGCAAGCGGGCAAGAGGAACGCAGGAAAGGAGCTCTCAGTCTTGGAGGACAGGGCAAATCTCAGCTGCTGCTCCCTCAGGCATGGCCCTCTCTTTTATACAGTTTAACTCCCAACAAATTCCTAACAATCTCTTTTAGATCACTGGGAGAATCATGTGGAAGGAAAGGGCACTGCTCTAAAGCTAAGGAGAAGAACCAGGACATGGGGCTTTTTTCTTTGAAAAAAAATCCAACAAATTATAGCTTTGGACATCAACATCTTTACGTGATGGTCTCTCAGTGATTGACATAAAATACACTACAGCAGACAAGGTCCAAAGAGAATCAGTTGCTTAATGGCACAGACAGTCACCAAAAATCTGTTTCTGCTTCATTGAAGCACAGACAGTTATGAGGTGGCCCCTTACAGGTGTTATTTATAGACACAGTAAGGTAAACCACACTGAATTCCACTGCTCATGGGAGCTGCTGCCATGCCTAAATGCAGGCTCACCAGAACCCAGCCTGGCTGTCCTGCCATCACCATAAGCCACCTACCAACACTGGAAGAGACAGCCCGGTTCATGATATCAAGAGCTTCATTAAACTTTTCTTTGATGGATGGATGTGCCAGCACTTGGTCTGAGAACATGGACTTCCAACCCAAGTACCACTTTGTAATTTCTTCATAATTGGGGCTGTTACTGAGCCAAGAGCACAGCACCTGCAAAACAACACGACAGATAAATGCAGCAGGACAGGTACGTTAATGGAGGAGAGTCCCTAATATCACTTAGTTTATTACTGAGAAAAGAGAGGACTGTGACAGCCTTGGGCACAGTCTGTTCTGATGCCTACAGTGCTGGAATCACCCCGTTTGGTAGCTGGACCGTTTCACACTGGGGCAGCGACTTCTTGGCAGGAGTCACTAAAAAAACACAGTGAATCAAGCCTGTTTACTCAGCCTTAACAGTTTCTCACCTGCAGCCACTTGGGGAAGAAGTGTTTCTCCAGCAGCCCAACAAGACTGGAAACAGAAATCATCCCTTCCCAGTCAACCACCCAGTAGAAGGCATCCATGTGCTGCTGGTGAGGGTTTATGATGAGTTCGTTCAAACACATCCCTGGGAAAAGGGGGAGAAGAGTTAGAAAAGACCTTGACTCACAGTTTTATCAGTGCCCTGACCTGTTTCACTAGTAACACACATGATTTAAGGACTAATATTGCATATTACCCTAAGGGACATTTGGGATGTTTAAACTGGCTGATCCCTGCCACCAAAACAGTTCACTTTCATTTTTTCCAGCGATTACAATTTGCTGCCAGAACTGAGAAACTTGAAACTTTTAACTGTTTTTTAGACTACAGAGACTCTTAGCCAGTTTGTGTGGCTGAATGGTGAATTACAAAATCTCCTGGTGAAAGCATTAGCACAGACCAAAGAACACAGGAGTCACAGAGAGGCATTTATAGCTTGGTACCACCCGACAGCTGTCAGATATTCCTGTCAGCTGAAGAACTGAGGAATCAGATGATTTAGAAAAACAAGACAGAAAATATTGAGAATAATCAGAGGCAGACAGTTTAGAAAACATGTGGAAGTGCTTTGAAAAAACACGCACAGCACTAGTAGCAGAAAAGAAGACACAAGCTTGGTCTAAACTAATGAATAATATTCTTTGAAGTAACACTGGCAACCACATTAACATTTATCTCTTTTAGGTGTAAGGTGGCAACCAAGCAGATTCCAGAAATTCACACTGTGTGGCTTGTCTCACCTAGTTTAGGCACGATGTTTTTGACCATGAAAGCCTCCCATGACCCAGGTGTGAACACATCTTTCCAGGGCTGAAGGATAAGCTTGGCAGAGGAGTCACTGGGATGCCACTTCTGCAGCGCATTGGCCAGCTTGTTTCTGATGGGAGAATACAGCGGCTCTAACCGCGCCTGCATCAGGGGGAGCCAGGGGTGGATCCACGAATGGATTGGGACTGTGTCTGTCAAAGGATTCCAGTTTTCAACCTTGGGGTAAAACAGAAAAGATTAAAATAAGTCCAGCCATTAGCAGTGAGTCTTTCCAGATGCAAAACCAGCCACATTGCAACCCCCTGACTCCTAAATGCATCTGCAGAGGCAGCAAACCGGCGTTATAGAGGTTCTAGGTGATTTAATTCAAACACTGGTTCAGAGCACGGCTTTGTTCTAACACATCCCTCTCATCTTACCTCTTTCTGCAGCTTGGGGAAGATGAGCTGATCCAGAATGTTATCCAGTATCCAGACAGGAACAACGTTTACCCAGCTATCCAAGAAATCCACCATCGATCCACAGTTCCTCGGCTGCCACTGCGCCACTATGTTTCTGACATATGGCATCCAGATTTCCCACATCAGTCTGGAAAAATAAATAAATAAAAAAATCAAAGTTGAGCTTAAAGCTATAGCCCCAGGCCTAAATAAACCAAATGGTAACTGTGACTTAAAAACCACTTCTCTTTATACAGCTGACAGCTGGATTTTAACAGGCACATCAAGAGGATCATCTGGAAAGCACTTGTGGCTGTTCTTTTCCATCCCCGAAGAAGCAGCACTTGAAGGTGCTGCACAAAGTACAATTCATTTGCTCTTTACCTGTGAAAAGCATCTGTTGACAGGTCCTGCCCACCGTGTGATAACAGCTGATCATTTTCCAACAGGCTCTTCCACTTGGCTATGATCTCTGTGCCGTACGTACAGTCCTGGAAGTGACAAGGCAGGAGCAGCCTTTATC